AGAAAATGACACCAAATTCAAATTAATTGCTGCTAACATGTTGGTAATATATTGAAGATAATGCTTCCTATTTATGAGAAACCTGAATGTACAATGTTTTTTTGAGTGTCACTGTTTTTTGCCTTATAGTCCCTATGACCAATAAGAACTCATCTTTGTTTTAAATGAAAAAAATCTAATTTTTTTTAACAAAAAGGGGGCTATTCACTGAAACTCTGAGATGCACCCTTTGAACAGATTTTTCATCATGACTTAACTTTGCTTCTGACAATCTTGCAAACCAGAAAACTGTATCATTTGTAATGGTTAGTTTTTTAGCAACATGGTTTATTATTTGTTTCATTTAGTACTGTTGTTGGTTCTGGGCTATTTCAATGGGGACCTGTTATATCTGTTTTAGGTAGATTTTTTGGTTTTAGTTCATACTAATTAAAAATTTTTTAGTACTGAATTACATTTAATACTCTACATTAAATGTATTACAGAGATGTTAGATAGCATTGCACCCATACCTCATATAATACTAATTTAATTTTTTTTCAGTTGAATGTTTCTTATTTATGATAGCATTTAGTGAGAATCACTTTATCATCATTAATTTTTTCTTTCGGTTTATCTATTGCAAGTTATTTCACCCATAGTTCCCATAGCAGAAACTTACTACTGCTATCCCATTTCTAATAATTTTTATTTATATTTGCATTCATTCATATCTATTTACTCTTTAGCATGCTAATTTTCTCTCTTACGTTAAAATATTTGTTTTTGTTAAATTATTTATTTTTAAACCAAATTACAATTTGTTTAAAATTATTTATAATGGGAACATTCATTTGAAAAAAATATTTTTAATTTTTGGTTATACTACTTAATACAGAGTTTTACCCGCCCTAAAAATATTTTGATTGCTATAATAGATGAATTTTGGTTTTTAAAACTTAATCCGTGCGAAGAACGGGCATTTCAGCTAGTATATTCTAAAATGGCCGCCAGGAAAGTGCGTACCCCTGCTACTCAAGAGATGTACCCCCATGATAAATCTTCACGACTGTAATTCAAATTCTACAACTAAGAGACCGAGAAGAAGACATATCGGCTCTCATAATCCACCTTGATTTTTATTCTTTTAGTGCAATACTGTTTGTTGCACATTTAATTTGCTAAATTTTAAAAATTTTATTTTTTGTATCTCTCGCTACTAGACAAGCCCCGCCCTTATTTTCTTTTACTACTTTAGTTAAACTTTTGAGCAGCCAATAAGAGTCAATTTCCTCACTCAGCAACAATCAATCAGAGAGCAACCACTTAGCTCTCTCCCATGTTTCTGGAAACTCAAATACCTTTGGAATTTTTCCGTACGATTGGCTCACCCAATCAGAAACGTCCATCTCTTAAGCATGAAAATGAAAACAATCGCTCCACATCTATATGTCGAATATGGGATGGTGGGCCTCTAGCGTCCCATTTGCCCAGTAACAGCACCGTAGCACCCAGAGAGTTCCACAACTTTGTTACTTTTAATTTGTTCAAAATTTCAACTTCAGCAATCATTCGATTGTTTTTTTATCGAAATAATGGAAGTCTCTGAACAGCTTGAAATTACTGCTAAAATATTTGCTACCAAACTTGATCATTGCCGCCCATCCGGTATAGTGGTCAGTGAAGCTGACTACGGTGTCGCAGGGACTGGGTTCGGATCCCGGAGAAGGCATGAATATTTGTGTTGTAATCCTTTCTTCTGTCTGTGTTGTATACCCCCGTGTTATACATTGCGTGGTGCACGGGGTTTATAAATGTTGAAGGGGAAAAAAACTTGATCACTGTGTAATGCGAAAGTATATTACAACCTGGACACCAGAAGCAGAAATTGAAGCAATTTTCCCCGATTTTATGCAAACCGAATCGGAACATTTATGAATTAAACTATCTTGCATTTTCTGGTGGGAATTTCACCAAAACTTCGCTGGAAAAGAGAAAACGAATGTGACCTTCGAGAAATTTTGTTGGTGCATGTCTTCAATAAATCAATACCAAGAAGAAAAAAACGGAAGCGTTTTTTAAACTATGCTGCCAAGCTTGCGAAGATTTCGACTTTCATTTACAAAGATGCCGTTGAAGCAGCAAATATTGCTATTGGTGACATAAGTACTAGTTACGCACGAGCCAGATGACCGAGTGGGAACACACTTGCTTTTAATTTTGCAAATAGCAATATTTTTATATAGAACTAAGCTTTCTTGAAAATTTTAATAAAGTTTTGGTGTGCTTTTAGAGTGAACAAAATCTAGTTTATATTCCAAACCTTTTTAATAAAATTTGTTTCTTCTTAAGGTTAACTCAATTTTTATTGCATTTTTTTTATTTTATTCTTGGGAAGTCAAAATTGGTTTTGTGCAAAAGGCGTATTTTATTCTTTTTTAAAAATATTTTCTTGAAAGACTTTTCATACTACTACTTCAATGTAGCAGACTAGGAAAAGTTTTAACAAAAGTCATCGTTTCAATATCTAAATATAATTTATTTTTTAAGCAATGAAAGTTAGTATTTGATGCATATTAAGTGACTTTTTTACTGCTTTAGACTACACTCATGTCCATTAAATTAAAGATAATGAAGTTTAGGCAAAGAAAGAAATAGAAGCAAAACAAATTTGACTTATTTGTAAAGTCAGTTTATTAAACAAAAGGTAAAGAGCAAAAAATATGCTATATGTTTGATATAATTAATAAAAATTGCGATTTTTACTCCCTGGAGCAAATTTCAAAAAAGTACCTATTTACAAAAAACAGTATAACATGGTTAGTATGATGGTTAATACGGAATATGTCTCCCGGAGGATGCAATACAGGCCTTACAACGCCTACGCATGCTGAGTATCATATTATCAATCTAATCTTGGGAAATATTACACCACTCATCAAGCAATGCCCTCCGAAGTTCCGGTAGACAGGTGGGAGGGGGTTGACGGGCTGCAATTCATCACCAAGCATATCCTACACATGCTCTATTGGATTAAAGTCCGGTGAATATGCTGGCCAATCCATACGGGTGATATCCTCCGATTGAAGGCATTCGTCTACAATGTTTGCACGGTGAGGACGGGCGTTGTCATCCATAAACAGAAATTCAGCACCCATGGCGACCCGAAACAAACGTGCATGTTGTCCCAGAATGACATCCCGATAGATGTGGCCTGTCATCGTTACACTCTGAACATGCAGTTCAATTCTGGAACCAAGAATAATTCCTCCCCAAACGAGCCATCTTGCACCACTGTAACGGTGTCGTTCAATGGTGATAACGGGTACCTGGTGCTCTCCATATGAAAGTCTGGCGAGAATCAGGCTGTAAACTAAACCTGGATTGGTCGGAAAACATTACACAAGACCACTGTTGCGGTGTTCACAATACATGCTCTCTATTCCAGGTTAATCGCAGGCGATAGTGAGTTGCGGTCAGGGGAACACATCTGACAGGCCTACGAGCATATAGACCGATGTGCCCTAAGCATCTGTACACGGTCTGCCTTGAAACTGTCGTACCGGTAGCTGAAGAGAGCTGACGAGATAGGTCTGATGCTGTGCTCCGTCTGTTTCTTTTGGCAGTAACTGCCAAATACCGGTCCTCATTCTGCGTTGTAACTCGGGAGCGACCTGTGCTGTAACATCTACTCACATTACCATCATTTTGGAATCGTTGCCAAAGCCTGGAGATGACACTCTGGGCGATTCCAAGTTCCTCGTATACTTCCAGCTGGGTAGGTCCACATTCCAGTCGTTCAATAATTCTACCACGTAAAAAATCATCCAAATGCTTCCTTTGTGCCATAACTATTCGGTTGTTGCACTGAAAGGCTTTTAAAGCGCTTGTGAACAATTTTACTTCTTTGCCACCATTCCTTATATACCTCTCTCTTACACTCTCGTCATTGTGACGTACTATCCGCGCCATCTGGTGGTTTCCTGAAATTTGTATATTCTTCTTCAAGATGTGTGTGATAATTCTACAGGTGAAATTTTTATTTTAGAGTTCAATTTCTGTGTGATTCTGAATTATCCTTAATTTATGGACATGATTGTATTATATCAGTCCTGGTATGGTGAAACAATATTGTTTCCGAGCAAAAATGTGCTAACCATATTCAACTTCTTAAACATCAGTATATGCTCGACGCAATGATTTGTGAAACGAGATTAGAAACGATTTTCGGTGAAAAATAAACTCGCAACTCTTGCCGTGCAAGAAATCGTACATACTCAGAATCTGCAGATTGTAGCTTCAAATAACTGTATTGTGTGTGTGTGGCAAACCATTTCTTTTAAGTAGGATTTTTTACTTTTCAAGAACCCAACAGTCAGCAGCATGTATTAATTCTTAAGTTTCAATTTAGATTTGTATACAAATGATAACCGTAACTAGGTACTATAATTTGGTAATGAAAACCTTAATTTATATCGTTTTCAATGTAACAGAATATAAAGGAATAACAGCTTCGACTTTGCTTAAGAAAACATTGGTACCAGCTCATACCGTAACTTAACTTGAAAAATGTAGCAGGGTGTTACGGTAGTTTCTGCCTGAAGTTAGGGGTGCTTAAGTCCATAGGTGTAAAAATTATCAGTTTCATTTGATTTTATAAAGAGAGATTTGTTATGTACGCTAGATTAATCTATACTAAATTTGTAAAAAAAAATATATTATTTACCAGAAACACAATAACTATTTGTAAAAGAAGTATATTGCTTTTCAATTCCTACTATTAGTTAACTCTCTCCCTTTATTTATAAATACAATCTTGTCCAATTCTTTTCAATCGTGTATAAAATACTTTCTATTCATCCATTCAAGTTCAAATATTTTTTTTAAACTTGTAGTGGATGACACTTGATATGAATACAGTTTTTTCAAATATTAATTCATTAACTAAATTAAATGAATAAATAGTAACAAAAAATATAATAGTCCAACAACATATATAGAAAAGGAAAATTGTCCGTTGTATCTCTGTAGCGCAATGGATAGAGTGCGTTGGACTTCTAATCCAAAGTTCAAGGGTTCAAATCCCACCTGGGATAGCCTAATTTTTGAGAATGTCATCTACATCATATTATATTATTTTGTTAGAATAATTAAATTCAATTAATAATTAAATAGTAATTAAAAATAGTCCACCAACATATATAGAAATGAAAATCACCTTATACACTGCTGGCCAAGGTAATTGCAACACCCTGAAGGAAGCACGCAAATAGCATGAAATTTACAACATGCATTAGCGGAGGTGAGACATGCAAATGATTAGAATTTCAGCACAGACACACATCACGCACGCCTGTGGCGCCATCTTAAAGCGCTATTTAAGGCTTGGAAATTTCGAGGATTTCAAGTTCGGCAATTGTGTTTTTCTGGAGGTTTTTTTCAAAAATGAATGAGTTATGTCTAGTAAAAAACAGCGATCAGCTTTTGATCAAGAATCCGAGTTCGACAGAGGAAGGATAGTGGCCTACCGAGATTGTGGATTAACTTTCAGGGAAATCGGTAGTCGTGTTGGACGAAACCAAACAACTGTAATGCGGATATGTGACCGTTGGATGCAGGAGGGTACGATGGACCGACGTGGTCGATCGCATCCACCTCAGTGCACCACTTCACGTGAGGACATTCAAAATGTGCGCATGGCAGTGATGGATCGCTCAGTCTCATCAGGAACCATAGCACAGCACATTGAGTCTGTAACGCATCATTCAGTGTCTGCGCGTACCATTCGACGCCGTTTACAGCAGAGCGGTCTGTCCTCAAGACGTCCATTGCTTGGTCTACCCTTGACGCAGAACCGCAGATGTCTCCGCCGCCAATGGTGCGATGAAAGAAAGATGTGGGCGGAGGAATGGAATGAAGTTGTCGTTACTGATGAGTCACGCATCTGCTGCCAACACCACGATGGTCGGATTCGAGTCTGGAGACACCGTGGAGAGAGGATGCTGAACAGCTGCGTTATGCACCACCACACTGGTCCTGAACCGGGTATTATGGTATGGGGCGGTATGGGATATCATTCTCGCACTCTTCTAGCACGCATTGCCGGCACTTTTAACAGCCAGCGCTACATATTCGAGGTGTTGGAGCCAGTTGTCCTTCCTTACATTCAAGGCTTAGCCACAGCCATATTTCAACAGGATAATGCGCGATGATACGTGGCACGCATTATCCAAAGGTTCTTCGTCAATCACCAGATTGAATTGCTTCCCTGGCAGGCTCGCTCTCCGGATCTTTCGCCGATAGAAAACATGTGGTCCATGGTAGCTCAACGTTTGACCCAAATTACACCCCCAGCTTCCCCACCAGATCAACTTTGGCAACGTGTGGAAGCTGCTTGGTCTGCTGTACCCCAAGAACACATCCAAAGTCTCTTTGAATCAATGCCGAGGCGTTGGGCAGCGGTGATTTCCAACAATGGTGGCTACTCTGGCTACTGATTCTGGCAGGAACCACACTTCACAGAAGTCTATAAATTTATACTTTTGATACTTAGTCAACATGTTATCTAGAAAATAAATTTTGTTCTGCTATCTCTTGTCTTTCTTGGTGTTGCATTTACGGTGGCCTGCAGTGCATGTATGTAAAGATTTATATTAATCGTAACTATTTAATAAAAAGTAACTGAAGTAAAATTTTTCTTTGTTGACTTAGGTAGGAATCGACTAAATTTGTTTTATATTACTTGTTACTCCATAAATCTATACAAATAAATAAAATTGAAGTGACTGTTTGTAATTTCAAATTAGCAGCTTTTTACTTAATGCACTAAAAGTATATACGGTACTCATAACAAAAAAACAATTTTTAAAATTTTTGTCTGTCTGTCAGAATATAAACAGATATATTTATAAAACATCATGAAATACCCAGCGAAGCGGGAGGGTAACAGCTAGTACATAAATATAATTAATATTGTATAAATTTTTCCAGCATTCAGCAAAAACACCATCCTCAGAGACTACATCTTGTATTCTTTGCACATATTTCCTACTGCCGTACGCAACAGACCACATTGTCTGGGATGGGTACAAACAATACTACCTTTTGATCCATCAAAAGTTGCAAAATCTATTATCACCTTTTCTGATACAGGTTTGAGTCCACTGCGCGATCTTTCAGTAAATCCTTTTCTTTGAGCTTCTTTTTCATTCTTTTCAAAGCAATAAATCCCTTACGTCAGTGCTTCTCAAACTTTCAATATTTGCGACCGAAAATTCAATCATAATATTTATCGCCCCCCCCTTCCATACAATAACAATGTATTGATTTTAAGAAAATTATACTTAAGGGGACGGTGGACCTTTGAAATTAATTTCTTAAATTGTTATCTTAATTAGCTGAAATTGGAATCAATATAGTAAATGATCACTATAATTCACAATTTAAATATTTTTTTAAAAAAAAAAATTATAATTTGATTTTTTTTAAAAATTTAATTTTTTAAAACTTTTTTTAAAAATGCTCCTTGCGCGTTAGTTTTTAAGATATTTTCTTAATTTTTGTTTTATATGTATATGAACTATAACTAAATATATCTGTGAATGGATTTTAAATTCAGAATAAAATTTGATGAAAAAAAGATACATTTTCTATACTATATGAAATATTTCACCAATTATCACACATTCGAGGTAATCAAAACAACGTAAAATATAATCCGTTAAATTTTTTAACAAAACCAATGCAAAAATTTGTGAATTATATCATTTTTTATAACTTGTAAAAATTTTAAAGAGATACGATGAAATATGAAACGCAAGGAGCATTTTACGTAATCATGAAAAGAGAAAATTCACGAACTGAGAAAAACACATTTTAAACATTTATTTGTGTAACATGAAATAATAAAACAAAATTTTACATAATTACTTACCCTTACATGAAAATCAAACATATAAGAGATTATTACAGTAGAAATCTAATAAATATTTTAAAATTTGTTATATTTAGTTATAAATTGAATAATTCAAGTTATAGCATCCGCCAAGCTGATATTTATAAAAAACCATAGAGTGGCAAGACATTCACTTAAAATTTACCAGCACAATATGATAATCCTTCAGATTTTATATTTTTGTTTTCTATTGTATTAGAGATTTTTTGCTTCTTAATTCTTTTGTCTTTTGCAGTTTGAAAAGTTTTAATTCTACTTTGCTTTAATCGGCGGTCATCTCTCGTTTCACTAATTTGCATCGAGGGTATGGAAGTGTTTTGATGCACGTTTCTCAAGGTAAATAGGGATCCAAAATTGAACTCACTTACTGCTGTTACAACAGATATTTCCAATCTTTTCTTTGATTGGAAACTTTCTTTTTGGCAGTGACTCCAGATAACACTGTGCAAACATTCATTTGCATTTTGACTTTTACCTGAAGTACACCGGGACAATATCTCGTTGCTTGCTAATCTCTGGTACACAGGAAGAATCTTCGCAACAACCTCCTCAGTTAATTTTGTCTTCATAACTGAATGACTTTGAGGGGATTCTCCATTCGCCAAAGATCTTTTATAAAAACACCAAGAAAGTTTGCCATCAGAACATTTGTTGTGTTTCGGTTTGGTGTCTGTGGAGGAACAATGATAAAGTGTGGCATATATTGCACTTTTCATTTTTCTACATCATCGCAATTATCTTTAATGGCTTTTCTGTAAAAATTAGTTAACTTAACTATTGTGGTTTCTTTTAAACTACCAACCTTTTTGCCTCCAATACAAACACCTTTGCTTCGCCACTCTTTCACCTTGCTGCGTAAACCAGTTCCTAAGCGTTTTGAAATATGGTTGATACATTCTTCTTTTTTAATTTGTTTATCTTTTCCGTAAATGTTCAGCGATATCAGACGTTGGAATGTTTTTGAATCTCCGTCTGATAGTTTGCAAGTGTAGCACATATTGCACTCCTTGATGGATCTTTGCCACAAAATTGCAGCAGCTTCCATTTCCATACTAGACGAGGAACCTGTATGATTTATCTGACATTCAGATTTGTGACCTTCATACCAAATTGCAAAATCTGGACTATCCCTCGAAAGGTCTCTTACTGCAGCAGTACATTCCGTACAATACTTTGACAGTATTTCATAATCTATTACTAAGCCTGTCAATAAATCAATTACAACTCCTATCCCGTACAGTGATTTATATCCCCGCTTTTGCCAAGATCCATCAAATGACACAGTTATGTCTAAAACACCAGTTTCCTTACCTTCATTGTTCAATTCAAGATGTTGCTTCCTAACTATATTTCTCGCAACTTCGAGGATCTGATGTTTCACCTCTCTATTTTCTTCAGACAAAATTTTAATGTGCTTCGAAAAAGATTTTTTGTCCATTGTATTCATATCAGTCACTAATGAAAATAGTTCCAATCCTGCGTGACCTTTCCCAAGTCTTAAAAAAGAGGAAACCATTTTTTTGTTAATGTCAAAAAAATTTTTGTCTTTTACACGTGCACTTGAAAATGAGGAATTCAATACTGCCTCACAACTAGAGCAAACCAATTCTAGTTTTGATGCCATACCCAGCTGCGTTGTTTTTATAATATTTAAATTATTCATATAACATTCAGGGCACTTTACAGTTGACAATAAATTCTTCCATACATTTGTATCAACTAATACATAAGTTGGATCATTTTGTTCACTTATCACATGTTCTGCAGAAGTGTGTGAGCTTAGAAGAGACAGCTTTCTTTCTGTTGCTGCATTCAGTTCAATAGAATTTAATGGGTAAGTGTTTACTTCATTATTTTCATAATTAGAGGACACATTACCACTTGCATCAGGCTCATTTTCATGTAAACTTTGAAGCTCCAGTTCTATTTCTCCAGAGGCCCATCTTTTCTTTGCTTTTAGCACAAAGCCTGCATTTTACGTTTTGATGGCCTTCCTTTTGGAACATGATATCGAGAACTAATTCTGTGCATTGTACAAATACTGTTGGAATGATTAATTTATCAAGAAAATTATTATTGAGTATTCAAATGAAAGAAAGGAAAACTTTGAAAAAGAATAGACCTACAATTACGTCTGAAACG